GTCTTCACAGACTATCATGACAAAGTGTGCGGATTCACTGTTTTGAAAGAAACTTTTTTGAGGAAAGCAAGATATATACATAGATATACATGAAAACATTAATAGAATATATACTGGTTTGTTGTTTGTTTCTTTAAACAGGCCATGGGAGGAAATACAATGACTTACACCTCTGTAAAAATATATTCATCTAGACAGCTAAACAGAATAATGCTGTACTCTTTATAAAGATTCTCTCTAGATCCAACACACAGAAAAAACATTACAGCAGTATGAATAAAAAGGATATGCTTCATTTAGCCTACTTACCTAAGGAAACCAGGCTTCTGAGATCACATTGTCTACCGAATACTCCTCAAATAGATCTGAAGCTTTCAATTTCAATCAAATTTGGCAGAGACAAATAAAAATATCAACAAATTTCAGTTTCTGCCAGTGTCATGGAAACAGGTGGTTAAAGCTGTAAAGAAACATCCTGTTTAAGCTCTCAGTGAATAAAAAGCTATTAAATTCACTAAGACCCAAATGTAAAGATTTCCGGTTTTACATAACACAATAGCATACTGCTGAACAGCTCACTGATGGCTCATATGTAATTAACATGTTATACACTGAAATAACTGTAAGCTATATGGTGTACAATGCAGAAAAGGGACCTCCTACACTTTTTGCAAAGGTCGAAGTGCCATGAGTTTCAAGCAGGAGTCTTTGTATTGAATGTCTGCAGAACTGGGCTTAAAACAGAATGAAAGGAATAAACCAAAATCGATCAGCAACGCTACCTTTTTCATCAAGTTTCTCCCAAAGTGAATAGGGTAACTCCCACTTAGAGCTTATTGCTTGTAGAGAACGCAGCATTTTGGAAATTTCAATTAGACATTGAATTGGTGCCATAGCAAAGATTCTGAAGCCTATACAGTGACTGTCAAATGAAAACACAAGAAAACCCTCTGAAACACTGAAGCCCTTCACAAGAAATACTTCAGTTCCTCATCTTTGCACTCACTAATAAATATTCACTACAGTCCATCTGAATCACTCTTAAGAGTTTCAAGGGTGAAATAGGAGTTAACGAGGCCAAAAGAAACACATGAACAAAGATATTTGTGAAATTAAAAAAAAATATAAGCATTGAATACACAAGAGGATGATTTCACGCAGAATTAGTGGCAAATGGAGATAAGCCTGTTTGATCTAAAACTAAAACAGTGCTTCGTGATGAGGTACGACTGGGGTTTCCTCAAGGCACAATAACACACATGGAAACAGTGTAACATGACACACACCCTTTGCTCATTACTGTTAATTACAATGAAAACCTCCTATAATTAACTGTAGAAGAATGTATCAATGAAACTTAGATAAACCAACCTTTCCCCACACACCCGTATATATAATGATCTTTTACTCTGACAGTTCTGTAAAATATTTTTAGTACCATAATTAAGATTATGCTGCTTCTTGTATTCTTGCAAAATCATTCAAATACAGAATTCATGAGCTATTCCTCCAGCTGCAGTAAACAAGAGGTGCTCTGCATTCAACCTATTACAAAAGCAAACCATCTTACTACAGTACTCAAATTATACATTTGTATGCTACATTGTTAAAAAAAAATGTCCTTCGTTCCTCTACCATTCTGACTACCAGCAAAGAGCCAAACACAGACATTTTTCAGCACTGCCCCACGTAGCCCTTTTCCAACTTCTCCAACTAAGAGGCCCTAATCCTTTCTTTGTGGCATCAGTCACCCTCAGCAAGCTTGACGCACCAGCACAGAAGGCCGCTCAGGACAAATTTGGCATACCCTATTTTGAATTCTAATCAACACTTTTGACAAAGGTTGTTACCCACCAATTTCAACTGAAGGCTCTTCCATGTCAGTTTTGCCCACCCACAGCCAGGTGTCACCAGGTCCCACTAATGTCACAGATATGGCAACCTCTTTGCAGGCATCAGTAGGCTGCTGTTGGTAAACACTTTTTTTTCAGCTATTAAGGTGGCAATCAGTGCTAACTTCATGGAGAGAAAGCCAGTGAGAGTTCTTACTATTAAGTTCCCCCTCCACGGCACCCTTTCTAAGTCTGCCCTGAACTATGAACCCATGCTCCTTACCAAAACCCCCTTCTTTTGGCCTCAGTAAAAGTACGTAGGAGTAATATTACACAAATGTATTAATCAATGTACCTGGGAGCAAAGCTAAACCTGCCTATTGAAATAACTTTCGAGAGTCAAGATTTTTTTTATTCAAAATAAAAATTAAAAGATATGAAGATCACTACAAAATGGACAGGACTTTGCAACACAACTTACACTTTCTCTCCATTCATCATTACATTTTGCCAGATTTTATTTCTCAATCTTCCCTATCACCTGGGGAAAAAAAAATATTCCAAGCCTAATCTTCCTCCTAATCTTCCAAGCTTTACAGTCAAACTCTAAAGGAATGATTACAACCACTATTTTCTTCAGCCGTATGTTGCTGCAACCCAAATTCAAAGTTACACACCATGACAACATAGTGTGGTGAATCAGGCCCTCATACTGCGCTTGTCTTCTCTCTAAAATGCTGCAGGTTGCCTGCCTACCCTCCAAAACAAGCAGGATGAGGACTAGCTACGTACCATACACTGTTCATGCCATTCTGCATGCTCCCAAATGTGATTAGCACAGAAAATGCGAGAAGACCAGAAGGCATCTTTCCATATTTAGCCATGTATGTTTAATACCGAGTTAGATTTCACCTCAGTGCATTATTCCGTTAATCAAGGGTGGGTATAGCAAGGAAGACATAGACTGACAACAGCTACTTTTAAGATTTCTCTTCCTCTTCCCCCCACCTCCACCTTCTATGACACCATGCATCGTGCATTTTACATGCATTCATGTGTGCAAACAGCAGACTTATCTATAAAAATCAGTTATATGGTAAAACTGCAAAAGGAAACTTTCACCCTGGTCCAGCTGGTTGAATAACTGCAGAGGCCAACAGCAGCAAGCCTCTAAATACATCCTTTTCTCCCTCCACCCCCACGTCTCTAATCACTTAGGAGGAAGATAGGAAGATTAGCAGAGAGGAAAAAAATAACCAAAGCTGCAGATAACCCTTTAGGACCACAACGTCAGGCTATGAGACATGGAGCAAAAGGTTAATGCAGCTGTATTTTCAGGATTCTCAGACACAATTGTATTTAAAAGGGAGGGAGGGGTGTTGAGAAGGTGAGAGAGGGGGAAAAAGGAAATGGTGATGAAGACAGAAATGAATTTGTCATCTACAGCTGGCTCTTTGATCACCTGGACTATCCAGAAAAGGATTACCAGCAGAAATAGGGCAGTTCTATTACCAATACACTGCAATTTTTTGGTATTTTCATTATCATCATCAGAACAGATTTTACTAAGATTTTACAGCTGCAGAAGTAAGGGTGTACTGAGCTGTGCAAAGAATAAAGGTGGTAACCAAAACAGTGACTGAGAGCTACCTTTAGCAGCTGATATACTGAAGAGATTTGGAAAAAATGAAATATAAATAAAAGTCACTTTCACTAGAAGACAATGTCATCTTCATCCATGTCTCTGAACGGTTGCTATGGGGTTGTGAAGAGGAGGGGAAGGATGGGGGGGGTATAATCAATCATCTCAGAAGAGCATTGCTTCTTACAGAGAAAGATCTGGATTTTGACTGTGTCCCTAAGAAAATTGCGGACTGCAGAGCTGCTGCCACGCAGGGCAGTGAGGAAGCAGGCAAAGCAGAGGCAGCAGCTGGGGATGGAAACGCCTATTAAATCCTTTAGACAACAGATGGGCAAAGCTCGGCTGGGTTATAAAAAAAAAAAAAAAAACCACCACAATGCATCATGTTTTATTGTCCCACCATAATGAACAACACTTAACACCCACATGCCCAAAGAAGCCCCCCTATGGCTGATCTTCCCCCTTCCCTAAATTATAATGTCAAGTTTCAATCCACTTTTGGGGAGCTCCTAACCCAATGAATTTGCCAGAGCCCATTGCTTATTGCAGCTGTTACTAAAAAAAAAAAAAAATATTAAATAAGGAAAACATTTGGGCTTCTTTTTAATGTTTTTTCTTCCAATTAATGCTCCCCTGCCCTTGAAGCGAATATGCTATCCAAGCAAGCAACAGTAAGTCCAGATCTTGAACGCATTTAGGGGATCTAATTATGTCATGTAGGGCAGAAGCACCTGCTCTCTGCTAATTCCCTCCACTCGGTTTCCTCTTTTTAATATTTCTTACCATTGTTCCATTCAGGAAAATCTTCTGGGGGTGAGATTCAGAAAAAAGCTTTAAGAAAAATAATTAAATAACCTCCCCTCCCCCCCCAATCCCTCCTACAAAAACACAGCATAACCAGAATTAATTCTGCTACCAATCCTCTATTTTGCTTTTATTTCAGACCCTACCCACAAAAACCACCAGCCCATCCATCCATATTTGCTAAATACCCACAGCAGTCAGTGCCACAGACATACTGTACATATTTCCACCCCCCCAACTGCACCTTAAGGACTACACCCTTTTCAATCATGATGTCATGAAATACTGCTGGTGACTCCCCCACTACCACCACCACCACCTCCTCGGTACTACAGGCTGTGAACCTTTCATTTCAATATAATTTGATTAAAAAGAAAATGCTCCTAAATAGGGCAGTGAAGAAATTGATGTGAAAATTCACCACCAGCATATCATCTATTTTTTTCTCTGCATGCACTCTGGCTGTCATCAGAACAACACCCATTAGCAGGAGTAATGAACATAAAGCATCCTGGGCTTTTTTTTTTTTTTTTAAAGAAAAAAGGAAGAAAAGAAATAATTAAAATGAATACTAAACATAAAGACAAAAATCCCCTATGAATATTATCTCCACTAAAACAGCAAATGGGAATATCTGAACCCTCAAATATCCCATCCCCAACACCTCACTGGCTGCTACAGCACCTTCCCCCTAGCGCCGGTGCTGCTGCAAAAGAACCAACCTGTCTGTCCTTTTCCTAGGGTTTTCTCCAAACGATAGGGTCCAACATATTGTGCATGTTGAGCTCCGCTGCCTTCTTTCCCTGTTGATGTCATTTCTACCTGGATCTGTAATTCTGCAATGTGTATGTGCTGATGAGCTGGAATTTCTCTCTCTGCAGTTCTTTAAATTCCCACTTTGCAGCTGTGCAAGCAAAGCACTCTTTCTCTTTGCTTTAGTCCACTTGGTTGCAGATTTTTCTCTTCCTCCTTTTTCTTTCCTCTCTCTCTCACGTGCGTGTTTTCGCGCTGGGTCTGCCTGGGACGCTGATGGACGAAGGATATTTTAATGTTCAAAGAGGGGGATCTACGATCCAAGCCCAAGGAGCATGATGCTGGTGATCTGAGCTCCGCACGCCTTGTTCTCTCTAGGAGCTGTTCAAGGGAGAGCCAGAGCTAGAGCAGCGGAAGAGCTGGGGCCTGCAGCTGTGACTGACATTAAAAGCAGCCAATCCCCTCGCCTCCCACCTCCTTCTCCCCTCCTCCTTCCACTACCTTTTCTTTTCCATCAGCAGCAGTTACTGCCTCTGCCTGCTACAGAGCATCATGATCAATGGCAACAGCAAACACCTGAGTTTATCAGTCTATTGATAAGGCACAATTATAGTTTAACGTGTATATTTTAAGACCTAAGCATACACTTTTTTTTTTTCTGAATTATACTCCACTGTGTAGCTGTACTTCCAGAGTATTGAAGAAAGGCTGAGACTGTGGCAGGAAATAGGAAAGAGAAAAAAAACTACTTCTGAAAATCAGCTTGAGAAATTAATTGATTCTGTTTGATTCTGGAGGACCTACATCTTCTGTGGGTTTTACCCTTTAAAGAGAACCTTTGGGGGGGGCGGGACAAAGAGAAAAGAGAGGAAAAAAACAGGGCAAATCCTGTAACCACTGAAGTCAGCAACAGACCTGCTTTTGAGTTTGATGGGAGCAAATAGACTTCAGGTCCTTAGATAAACAGATCAAAAGTGGCATGGCCACTACCTTAATTAGAAAGCAGAAAATCCAGGGATTAGATGGCAATAGGAACTGATTCCCAGATCCACAGGCCCCATATTAGCAGTGTAAAAAAAAGTTTCACTGTTTTTGTCCAAGTACTTATGCCTATGTTTAACCTTCAGAGCTTAAGGAGTGGATTAAATAAAAGATTCTACAGATATGCTTCAAGTTAGGCACAAGCCTGTGTATTTTCTGGATTCAGGACCATACAATGGTTTCGGCCAGACTCCAGGGATATCAAGCTGAAACCATTACCACAAACAACTTCCATTTTTACCTTCTCTTCTCAGCTCTGCTGCAGACAGAAATCTGGTCAAGATATTCTTATCAAATTGCAACTGAGCCTCAACACACAGCATGGATTCTTCACCCAGAGGGAAGCCTTGACAAGCCTGTAGAAGAATGGGAGAATAAAGAGAGGGCAGAACTTGAACAAACTTTATCATTATCTGTTGCTTATTGAGAGAAAAGACTCAGGTTTGTTTGGTTGGTTTTTTTAAAGAGGGAAATTTATCTTTTTTTAATGCCTGTATCTACAGGCAGCAGCTGCTGATGTAAATTGGAGTAAAACTAGAAATTGGCTCTTTACCTGTATCACAGACAACACAACTCTACTCAACAGGCTGCATAGGAGTAACAAGATGGGGAGGTAGGAGGAAATCAGGCCAATGAACTGAAACCTTAAACCAACTCAAAGGTATCCTCCTGTCTCCTGAGGAAACAAAACCCCAACGCTTGCTTTGACCTCCCCGTGCTTTGCTCTTTATGGCTCTTTACTCACTTCCAGACTGTGCTGCTGCTGCAGCAACCTGCCAGCAAACTCCAAAACACCCCAGACTGCCCCCATTCTTCTGCTTCCCCCTCCATACCTCCCCCTGTGTGACCACCCGCGAAGACTCCTTCTGTGCTGAGAGGACTGCCTCTACCTTTTGCCAGCAGCAACCTCTGCCCCCTCCAGCCCCCACAGGTGTTTACTGTCCTCCCCTACTAAACTCAACTCCAAACTCACATTTCTCCAAGCTCCCTCACCCAAATCTTTCATTAAGCGTTATTCTTCCCCCACCTTACTACAACCCCCAACAGCTGCTCCTCTTTAATCCTTGGTCCCCCTCACACTCCTACCCCTCTTCCTCTCCCCTCAAAGCCCCCGTGCGTCGCCTCACTCAGCTGTGCCCGCAGTCCCTCACCGAGGAGGGAGAAAAAGCAGTTGAGGAGAACGATGCCGGCAACCGCGGCGGCGCTTCCCCACGCCTTGTTCTCCTCGAATCTGCCCTGCACACCCCGGCGGAGCCGCGGGGCCGGAGGGGGGAGGAGAGAGGAAAAAAAAGGGTAGGCTGTTAGGACCGACGGCTAAACGGGCGGCTGGCAGGCCGAGGGGGGAGGCACAGCCTGCCCGCGGTACGAAGTTGACCTCTAGGGGTCCCTTCCAACCCAAAACATGAAGTGAACCTGCTCCAGGTGTGGGTGCAGGACTCGGACCTGGCAGTGCTGAGGGACCCGAGGGCTCAAAACCCCCGCTGTGAGGTCCAGAAACGTCAGGATGGGTTCAACAGGACGATCTGGTACGTCTGGCGACACGGTTGAAAAAAATGCCGCCGAAATTCGAGGCAGAAGGCAACCTTTCGCACACGCCATCCCACAGGGGCCCTACTTTCCCCGTGGCTTACAAGCCAGGATGGGGCTGCTCGAGGTGAGGGGGGCACCGTGGCAGGAGGAGAGGCGCCCTCCGGGCTGGGCTCTCGGCGGCAAAAATCAAATGTCGGGGGGGATCGAAATGTGTCGTGTTTTCAGGCCGTCTGTCTTCTCCCCTGCCACCCCCACTATTAAAAGGTCCCCACACAGACGGTAGGGGGCAATACTGAATTACAGGAATGTGAGCGTAACTTTCAGAAAACGGGAGACTGTCTAAATGAGCAAATTAGACACACCACCATATTAACAATGAAGGGGGTGAATATCTGCGTAGATCTTTGCACTTAACATCTTTTTAAATTCCAAGATTTGTATTTTAAAGGGCATTTAATAGGAGATTATGATGTCTGTATGTAGATAAACCGTATCTGGGTCATGATATTAATAGAATGATGAGCAATCAGGCAGTATTGCCCATCCAAGACCCAACTTGTGCTTTTTACACTTTGCTTCTATTCAGCATTGGGGAAAGTGAGTTACGGAGCCGTGGCATGTTACAAATGCCCACCTTCCGCCACAAAATATGTGTCAGTGGCACAGCTGGAATAAGATCAAAAAACTTGGTAAAGTTCATATGATCCTGACTGGAAGATCAGTGAGTTTAAAAAAAAAAAAAAAAGAAAAGAAAAAACAAACCAATAAATACCCCAAAACCACACACACACACAAAACCACCACACCTTTTTGGTCTCATTTAGTTCTTTGTCATTTTGATTCCATAGGAATATTCTTCTGTATGGCCTAGTTGCAACAATTTTGACCTTTCGTCCTAAACTCTTCTTGAAAAAAGTATTTGGACACTTCTTGATTCCTGAATAATCAAATGCTGTTTATTTGTTCACATAGAGCAAAATCCCATTTATCTGTACCCCTTTGATCTGAAACTCACTCCTTTGAATCTAGGTTATGTCCCCCTGGTGTGAATTACTTATACAATAACTCTCTCAATTATTTGCAGCCCTGTTTATCCAAATGTTTTGATGTTCCAAAAGTATTTTGAATAAACAGGGCTCTGCTGTCGTTGGATATAACAGATATCTTTGGGGATGCATATAGGATGATTTCCCCTGACCTTATTCTGTATCATCTTGTGCTTAAATGAATAGGCAGTGTAAACTTAAGTATAGAGTTAGTATATTGGAACCATCTTCTGTACTTTTACTTCTTTCCCCATTAATTATTTTTCTTTTGTTTTTCTCATTAAAGGAGTAAATCCCAGAAATTTCACTCAGGAAGGACTCAACACAGATACCAGCAAAAGTTTTGAGTGATGAGTGAATAAAAAAAGTAATTATCTAGAATTTTGCTCAGTTTTATCATATTTCTGAAAGAAAGCAGAGAAATTATTTGCATTTTTTGGCATTTTTCACCAACTCCCATTGATACTAGCTTGTGTCTAATGAAAGTCCCCATGTTCATTTCTTAGATGCTTGCCATTGCCTTTCTTCTCATTTCCATGAGAACCTTAAGGCTCAAAGTGGATCGTGAAATAATACAAGAAGCTAGAGGAAAAAACAGGCCTATGAGGAAATTTTATTCAGTATTTTTCTCTGTTCAGTTGAATGTATTTGTGGAGTTAAAAATTTAAAAAAAAAGGAAGTGTCAGGCTTCCAAGAAGAGGCACCAATAAACTTGTGTACTTAGCATAGAATGAATCGATAGTCTTCTCATGGTAAGAAAAATTTCACAGAAACTAGGAATTTGTCTCCAGTTAGAATAACCTAATAGCCAATACCAATGATAAGGACATATTAAGGATAAACAGGGCAAAAATAGTCAGCATTTGCAATATCAGGATCCATTATCACCTCCTGAATTACATGTTCCATCCACACACCTAGGGACACATGACACCTCTTGGATAAGTGGTATTGGGAATAAAATATTTTGGGAATTCACCTCGTTGTATAAATACTCCATAAGAAACTGAGCCAGGTATTTGAGGGACATGTAAGCATCAATAATGTTGACAAACTGATAATACCTATATTGAGAATAATGATATCAATCTGCAACATCTCCTAACAGATGCTAACAGTCTAAAATTGAGAATTTGTCCCCTTTGTGTTAGATATTTACCATCTTCCTAAGAAGCCCAGGTAGACCCTAAGAAAAGAAAGAAAGGGATTTCACTGAGTGGATGGTTTTTCAAATTCTTGGAACACTCTGTGAGTTCAGACACTTTTCTGCTAGCCACCAAGTGCTGAGGAACTTGAACTAGTTAAGATTGGTTACTGAAAGACGGTGCTTCCACAGACTTCCACTTTAGCAGCTCCTAAACTGGTCCACATTGCTTGGCAGAGGTATACCGTGGTGGTATTTAGGTAACCACTTTGGAGGTTTTTCTGTTGTTATTTATTATTATT